CGAATGTAACAATTAGCTAAAAGCTTAATTTTAATTTTTTGTGAAACTGCACCCAGAAAAAGACTAAATGACCATTTATTGTATTAATAAAATTTTGATCCAGAAAGGCGTTTAGTTTTCTTGTTTTAAAGGTGAAAAGCGGATGTAGTTGTGCTATTTTTTCGCTACCTGGAATGGTATTTCGACTTTCTGGGTGCAGTTTCACAAAAAATTAAAATTAAGCTTTTAGCTAATTGTTACATTCGTTTCCAGAGAACAGTCGGTTCAATCATCCTGCTTAATACCGAGTTTTTCCGATCGAGAATAGATCGATAATACTGGAATCATGAAGAAAACTGCGTGGACTTACTGACTGTTTTCTTTGCATCACACTCTACATAAGATAGTATTGAATTATGTTCTATAATAGCTATACTGAACGAAATAACGACTGATTGACTGGAATCTGTTTTAAAACGATCCCTAAGCCTTTAGGAAATTTTCTTGATTAAATACTGTCCTAAAACTAATTGCCTAATCATATTTTTTTTAGAGGAATAATATTACTCTATGGTGAAACGTGTATGAGGGTTAATAGTAGTCAGTTCGCTACAGTGTCAAACTCCTGTTCGCGGAAGAGCTGATAAATCCCAGGAGCTTGTCACAATTTTCTTGCGGCATGACTATTAGATTTTCGCTTCGTAAAAGAACTACGGTTACGTCAGCGATGTTACTTCAAATTGTTTATTTTGAGTCCAGTTCTAGTACAAGATAACAACAAAAATCTTGACGAGAAATACCAACAGAGTAAATCATATGTTATACACTTCTCCATTTGTAGTTTTACCGCCACAAGATCTTAACTGTACAAAATCAAATGAAACATTTAACGAAACGACAACAATATATTCCTACACGGAAACAACTGTTACGTTAGTAACACGTAAAAAAGAACCGGATTATAGTTACAGTAATACGTATGGTTTAACAGTTCTTACAGAAGTATGAAAATCTTTTTATACATTGCCACTTTATAGAGTATGTATGGTTCTCCTTTCAAATAGTTTAATGAACTTTGTGATGATATCAAACGAAAAATTCCATATATTGTTTATATGGTGAGTTTAATTATTGGTGGTCTGGTATTCGGCTATGCGGCTGATCATAATGGAAGAAAGGCGACTTTATTAGGTAACAAGTTTTATCTGTTTGCTATTTCTGTGTCGTAATGCCATTTGAACGATACAGCACAATTGGTATAAATGTTCTCTGTTTTAAATAAGAAGTAGAAAAAGAGTGTCGTAAAACAGTTTGAATGATGGACTATTTTAAACAAAGTTGTATATTTTAGGTTCGACTTGGGTTATTGAGGCATTATCCATATTTCAGTTATTAAGTGACGACTATATATCTTATGTATTTTTTATATTTTTTATTGGATTTCCTATTGGTGCTGTGCAGGTGACCACGGTACCTTATGTGATTGAAATGTTTCCGATTAATTCACGTACAATTTATGGTTTATTTCTAAGTGCCACTGTAATTCTATTAGATCATGTATTGCCATGGTTATCATTCTCAATAACAAATTGGAAAAATTTACAATTGGTTGTTACAGTACCATTGCTTATTACAATTCTTTTGATAGAGTAACTTTATTCTAACTATTCCTCTCAGTCATCTGACGTTGTATTATCGTTCGTTTTAAGGTTTGCAGAAGAATCAATGTTTTGGTTTGTCGCACGAAAAGATTATGTAACAGCTATATTATCTTTAACAAAAATAGCAGATTATAATGGTGTGATATTTCAAAATTTGTTTCCAGACACAAATAATTTTCTTCATTTGAAACATTCAAAAGAAATTCAATGTGATTTTCAACCATTATTAAGATTAGGTACGAAAGAAAAATAGAAATATGACTACATGATGTAGAAGAAATTGATCGTTCTGAGCATGTTGTTTTTAATTTTTTAATAGAAGATCTAGCTACTTTAAAGAAAAAATATCCGAATTATGACATGGCTGATTTACAACAAACAGCAGAAAAAGGCACAAAAATACAACGTCTACTAAGCGTGATAAAAGGTTAGTTTATTCAGTTTTTTACCACAAGAAGGAGACATAAAATGTTGTCATTATATTTAGGACAACACTATAAGCCAACATTGTCGACATTTTATCCAACAGACTATTTTCACTCATTTAATTTATCAATTTATTTATTTGTGTTATGTAGTCTTTGGTATGTGAGGCCCTTTTGTCTTCTGCGTACGGATCACTTTGAATAAAACCTATGAGACATACATGTTGCTTGCATTGGATAGAGCAAAAAAGGCTCTCTATTGTGGATTATTTTTTCATTGATTTTATTACACTATATTCACGATGAAACCTATTGACATGTATTTCTCTGCTTTCATTCATTCATACGTCGATCGATAGAGGATATCGAGATTGTGAAAAGCTACAAAGAATTTGGACCGATGGCTTTTCCTTCAAAAGTTATAGGCACTCTTCTGTTTTTCCTAGCGAAAAATAGAAAAATTCATATATCCGTCCAGAAAAGTAGATAAGTGCTCAGATTTATTTCTATGGCTCTTCTATATATCTGTGATATTCATACAAAGTTCCAGTTTTACAACTCATTCTATTCCCGAGTTATTGAATTTTAAGTTTTCCATAGATTAGCCCTATGAATAGGTTCACAATATAATGGCTTCCAAAATCGATAGTTTTCTACTAGAACTGTTGAAACTTTCATAAATGACATGGTTTTGTAGTCTAATTTCGTTTATGAACAATTGAAACAAAAAAGATTTCTCAAGCTGGCTATAGATGCTGAGGTCTCTAGAGACGTCCTTGAAAACCGGAGTTACAAAACATTGAATTTATATAATTTCGATTAGATCTCTGTGTATGCCGATCAAAACCATGCCATTTATGAAAGTTTCAACAGTTCTAGTAGAAAACTCGATCGATGTATGAATGAATGAAAGCGGAGGAGTACATGTCCATAGGTGTCCTCGTTAGTCGATCTCGTAATTTCATTCCGAATAAAGTTTGTATCAAACAGAACGTTTTACTTTATTATCTTATGTTTTAGGTTGATCAATGCATTATCTGATTATAGTTTTGATACCCTACTTTTCACAAGACATTTACCAGAAGATTATTTTCTTAATTATTTTTATCAACGATTAATTGAAATTGCTTCATTTTTGGTTGCATTTCCATTAGTTTATACGTAAACGTACTTTTTTTCTTGTCCAAGCCATTTTATGTATCCATTTTTGTTATTTTTTTAGATTGGGACGAAGATGGCCAACATTCTCCTTCTATGTGATCGCTGGAATTTGCTTGGTGATTTCTGTTATTGTAAAACTTGGTATGTTCTACTAAATTTAAATTGAAAAAAAAAGAAGAAAAACATTCATATTCTGATATTTAGAAAGTGAATATATTCGCATCGCGGGACCATTAGTTATTTATTTTATTGGAAAATTTGCAATTCGAGCATCATTTATTATCACTCTCTTATTTACGTGTGAAATATTTCCAACTGGTTTAAGGTAAACAATCGATCTTATAGAATTCTTTTTAAGCTAATGTTATTTCTATATTAGATGTACCACACTTGGCATATGTTATATGTTTCGATTAATTGGCATGGCAATAGCATCAAAAAACATAGTGAGTTTATTCTTAAATGAAAATTGATTATCTGTCAGATAATATACGTTTTAATAGGGTGAAGTAAACGGTTGGACACCTCGTTTGATCTATGGTATATTATCAATTATTATTGGTTTAATGGCTCTCCTTTTACCCGAAACAAAGCGTGTCCCTTTGCCATGTACCATTGCTGAGGTAGTCGTTAAAATGTTATTCGACATTGTTGCTTAAAAATCTCGTTTTAGGCTGAACAAGCTCCTACGTATATCAACAGAATATTTTTCTGGCGACGAAATGGGCGTAGGGTAGATAATCATGTTGGTAGTAATGATATATCCGTCACACCCCGTGGAAGTCAAACTCTGTCTAAACGATTCAATCCATCGTATGAACAAACATTAGGAAATCCGATGGTTATAACTGAATTGCCGAGCAATGGCAACGTCAATGATAATTTTGATAGAATTGCTCAGCAACATCAAATTTCACAATCGACTATACTCATGAGAGACAAAACATCTGAGAACAATAATGTTACAGCTGCTAGTACAAAACATAGAAGCAAATCTACATCTTCACATTCTCAGAAACACCTAACAGCTCAAATCCAAAGTGGTGATGTCACGAACGGAGGCTTACAACCTGTCTCGAGCGAAATTACAACGATTGATTTTAACGACGACCAAGAAAATGATGAATAAAAACGAATGAAAGGACAGTAGCAACAAATTATTTCGGATAGATCCTATTCCACAGATGACATTTGATATTCTTCGAATTTTTATTGATAACCGTCATTAAAGACTAGGGCGAATCGAAACTTGTGTTAAGAATCAAATTATTTAATACATTACGTAAATTGAACTGAAAACTTTTAAGTTCTATGTCTACAACTTTTTAACCAAACTATCGATGAAGGCGAAACTAAAGATATTTTTTATAACTCTTACAAAATTCAGACAGTTTTTCGTTCGTGATCTAAATCAATTTGAAACACTTTGAGTTTAATATAAAGTGTCTTTGATTTTCACCATAGTTAAGTTGATAAGAAACATGAACTTACCCATCACTTTGATCGCATCTTTATTATGAATTCTATATTTCTTTAATTTAGTTTTATCATTATTGTTATTGTTATTGTTATTAACGAACTGACGGGTTATTAGCAAACTGACAGTTGTTATTAACAAACTGAGCTGTTCATTTGAGCCATTAAGTCTCTTATTCAGTTTTTTGTCTCCATGTTTATGTATACCATCATTAGTTATATCATCATCATTTAAAGTTTCTTCCTTTTAAAACCGAAATTTATGATCCCTAATCTGTAAAAACGACTGTAATTATTGCTCCGATGCTATTGTATCTAACTTATCTTGATTATGAGTAACTAAATTAGTTTTCGACGATTTTTTTCATAATTCATAATTGATTGTATTTCACTATCAATAAATGGTGTTCGATATTACTGTTTCTCAATATTACTCCTATTTTTAAGGCATATTGCTTGTTGCCCAGCAGATTCTGTAGTTGCAGATATCGATGAAGGGATTCTCAGCAATTTCGTGCTAAATTTAAAAAAACTTGTTATGACCAAAATCTCAGATGGTGCAGTATTTGTAAATCTTACAATAACGCCTAATAGCGAACGCATCACGGTTGACAAAAGGAACTAAATTGATTAGCGATAAAATTAAGCGTTCTTGTACTGTGCGTAAACTAATGTCCAATTAATGAAATCTATAAACCTATAAATCTATTAATGACGATAATGACCAGATGAAGAATGCTTGATTATCTATTATTACCACCGTCCGATCATTCACGAATTAATTTTTTCAACAAGTCCAGCTAGTGAACTAATTTGAATATCCTACCTCCTGTCTCTTGCCTTGTAACATTATTTGAGATCTTGGGAGGATTAATACTATATTATTAAAGAAACAGAGCAATATTTCTCCCTTGTATGTACACTCTGCTCGATGCTGTGTGTGGTTTTATTCTGTTTCCTTAAGAGATGTATTTGCTAGTCAGCAGTCCTTGGCTGATTTTGGCACTCCCTGTTAGAATGGACTTGATGAGTTAGTATTCTTATTTTAAGCTGACAATAACAATAAAAACTTAATCCCAAAATATGATCTCGTAGAGCAGCAAAATAATTTTGCATTTTACGATTCTTCGCACTTCTATGGAAAAAACGCACACTCAATGGCTGATTTTACCAGCATTCGGACTCCAGCCATCATAGTCTTCTATCAGGCTCGCTGAGTTGTAACTAGGGGTGACACTTTCCTGTTCCTTTTCAGAGTAAAGGTAAAGTGGTATCTTTTATTTCAAAAGTAAAGAGTAAAGCGGCTAGTCCACGTAACGGTGAAGCGCCGTTAATTCAAAAATCAAGTGGAAAAGCTTTTGAATTCTCAAACACATATTCTGATTCATCAGACGCTGCTGATCACGAATCTGACCTTATTTTTTCGATTTGGCCGAGTTTTCATGCAGAAAACCTCAAAATACTGTGAAGGCGTCAAAAACCTCGAATCCCGATTATCTCCTGATCTTTTCATTTTTCGATCTCACCGATGCGATTTTCGGATTCAGCATCACGAAGCACATCTAGGCACTTGTCATTCGATGACTTTTCTTCAAGACTTAAACGCCTGTAGCTTATCAAACACTGATCGCTCGAACCTTGAGGTTCTCATCGCGCAATGCTATGTAGTTTTTTGCCATGAGAGCTAGAGACTTCTTTCATACGCCAGAAGATTCGCCTAGCCCTGCTCCACAAAAGTATGCTTCGTTTTTTTCGAAACGTTTTTCCTTTTAGGACAAATTAGGAAAAGACTGAAAAAGTGCGAGTTTTTCGAAAAATCCTTCAGATGATGAGCCCATAACTCAGTGATATTTTCACCTAGAGAACTGCTATTATGGTTTTCCAGGTAAAAAGCAATGCTGAATACGTTAGAAATGTGTTTGAGCGATTTGGAGTTTTCCAGTAGGTTTTGCAAAAACCAGAACTCTGAGAAACCTTCAATAGCCTTTTGGAAATCTTTTTCGTCCCAAGCACATCGTATCGATAAAGCATCAAATTCTGAGCAAAATGAGACGTCCTCGAGCCTTCTAGCACATCTCTAGGCTGAGATAAGGCCATTTTACTTTCAGAGATCCGGCTGACTCGAAATCCTTTAAGAGATTTGCCAATAACTCGGCTTAGAAAGACGATGGGAAGCTCGGAAAGGTCTTATTTTGCTCAGAAATCGATGCGCATTCAGATGCAATGCCTGATGAAGGGTTGCAGAGTAATCACGAGGTTTATTGAAAAACCGACCTTCTGGAAATCTCTCAGAACCCTTCGGAATCCCATTACCCTTGTTAGGTACCGCATCTGAATGTGCATCGATTTCTTTATCCGCCAAGCGATAGCTTGGCGGATTTGGAAAGGCTATAGAATTTTTTCAAAGTCCTCTAGATATTCTGAAAAACCAAACTTTCCAAAAAGCTTTCTCTCAAAATCCTATTATCGTCTATGATCTTTCTTTTCGAATTTGGATAGATCTCGTGGAGATCTTTCATCTGAAACCAAAATGACAGTTCTACGACTGGGACTAGTGGTCTAACTAATCGTCAGAGCAAAGGGTATTTCCGCTGGAAAATGCACTTTCGCTGGGAAACTATTTTATTTAAAGTATTGTCGATTTCTCTTCAAATAAGGTGATTCTCATCAATAACTCCATGCGATCTACTAGTTCTGAAAGTTTTATCTGATTCTGCGATGCTCGCCGTAAAGTGCGGTACACTTTCGAAAGAATCACCCTGCAATCAATACTGCTACTTAAGCACTGGTACATGTATAGATGATATCAAAAAAATATTGTACCATTTTTTATAGACGTCCAATGTAGATGACATTTAACAATAATCATCGGTAACACAATAAAGTCGTTGTAGATTTGGTATTAATGCTAATAATGTAATAAAATCACTTTTTGTACATAATGCAATGAAACCCCCCATGCAACCGAAAACAGATGACAGCCATTTTTATCAAAAACTTTTTGAATCGGTTAGGTTAAAGTCGATTTGACATCGTGTCTATACTCAGTTTTTAACGATGAATCCGAAAAAATATTCTCATAAGCTGAAGAAAAGAGCAAAGCAGAAAATTTCGCATATTCTCAAAAATCATGTGTTTTTCGAAAAAAACATATTTTAAACGGTTTTTAAATTTTTTCGATCTGAAAAAACGTTTCCAAAAGCTAAAAGCCAGTTTTTCTTAGTCAGCTGTTCACACTCTATCGAATAATATATAAAAAGACGAAAAACAAAATGTTTAGTCAAAGTTTGATTTGCCGGCGTCTTAGCTTCACACAAATATTGATAGTACTATTTTCTTTTGTTCCTTTTAAGTGTTTTTAATACTATAATGCAATTTATAATCGACGAGTATGTACGTTTGTCTCTTTATGGACAAACAAGGGACTCATTTTATGCATAAAAGCTTCGTAATTGAGTTATTTATCATCAAATCACGCCGTAACTGCAGACATAGTCACATCTGAGTTCTCCGATAATTTTTACGAAATTACGTCCGAAACCCGCTGGTATTTGTTCGTAATTACGATTGAACATTATCATCAGGTCGCCATCCATGGAAAAAGGTTCATAAAATCACTGTGTCAAGATTGCTGGAGAATCGAAAGACTTTCTCTCTGTACTAAATCAATTCTTTAAAATGGTTATAGTTATCAACATCGCATTCCACGTATTTACGCTCCGACCATATAGATTTCCAGTTCCAACTGCATCTTTCAGGTGCTGTCATCGTCTTTCTTAATTATTTTTGTTCATTCACTTCATTTATTTCATGAGACATGCACTGTCAACGTTCTGTAGTAGTCGAATAAGGAAAAACACTTTTTTGGTTCTCTTCCTTTTCTTCTGTTTGTTAAACAAAAAAGATGTCTCCCTCTTTCTCTCTGTTATTATTATTGCAGTTAAAAAGAGACTAACATTCAGCAAGTGTACACTAAAGATTAGTCTTAAAAATAGAAAAAAAAGAACAAACCTTTTTTTATAAAGCCGTTCGTGTAAAACCACTCTTAAGAAGAAGCTTTCATTCTGTATTACAGAAAGAAAGCTTCTTCTTAAGAATACTAGAGGACTGTTAAAAGAAGAGAAAAAAAGAACAAACTTTTTTTCTATAAAATGGCTATTACTTGTAAGATTTCTTCGACGTCCTCACCATCCGTTTCTGTTGATGATCGTCACAGAGTTATTCTTGTTCGTAGTGGTGTAAATCGAAATTTTGATATATATGGACGATACCAAGTCGTATGAGTCATAATACTAAAGGTGAAACCAGTCGCACAAATGCACATATCAATGATAAGATCAGTGTGTACAATAGTAGATATTAACGACAATATTCCAGTCACTAAGGCTGGCACATTTTCTAAATGAAGTTGATACCTTGTAAAAATAATATATGTATAATTGGTTTTTGGAAATCGAGTGATAATTATTGTCGTTACAGCTAAACCACATAAACTAATACTGAGACTTATTTTTCGATTGCTGTTAAAAACTTCCACCTGCTGTATGTTCAACTGTCTTATTGACATTACCACCGTCATGTTTAACAATACTTATAAATGCTGATACCGAATAGATAACACTAATTAGAGGAAGGACGACGCAAAAGGAAAGA